CAAAAAAAAAAAAAAAAAAAAAAATGTACCTTGTACTCTTGTGATAATATATATACAAAGTACATATTAGCATCCACTTTTTAAAAAATAAATTTTATTTTATCCCATTCCTCTCAAACTCCCCCCATGTACAAAGATTTGTTTCCTTTTTTTCCTTCTATTTTCACTTTTTTTCTTGTCTCCCTTCCTTTCTCCTTCCCTTCTCCCTTGTTCCCCTACACATTTGAACACTCTTCCCATTTCCCAACATCCATTATATATCTCAGTCCTTATTTCCAACTTTTGGTTTCTCACACTGGAAAAACAATGCTGTATTTAAACATGTGTGTCTGGTTTATTTCACTTAAGAGTATGGCCTCAAATATGAGAAAAGGAAAAAATTGAATCAAAGTGTTTGTAAATAGGGGAGGGCGGAGGGGATGAAGGGAGGGCAGGGGTATGGGGAAAAAATGAGAACCAAGATCTGTCATGTAAGGGTACAAGATCCCAGTGATGAATGTAACTATACTGTATACTTGAAAAGTACCAATAAACTCAATAAGATTAAAAAAAAAATATGGTCTCAAGATTCATCCATTTAGCTTTAAATGTCTGAAGCTCATCCTTCTTTATGGCAGAGTAGTTTTCTACTGTATAAAAAAAACCACATTGGGCCAGGGATTTAGCTTAGTGGTGTTGCTTCCTGACTCACAAGTGCAAGGTCCTGAGTTCATCCTGTTACAGTAACAAAACAAACAAAACCACATCTTGTTTATCTACTCATCAGTTGATGTGCATTTGGGCTGTCTCCAAGATTTAGCTATCACAAACTGCTGCTGTAACCATGGATTTGCATATATTGCTGTGGTATGATACCTTTGCTTTTAATTCTTTCTTTCTTTTTTTTTTTTTGGTACTGGGGATCAAACCTGGGACCTTGCACTTGCAAGGCAGAATCACTGAGCTAAATCTCCATCCAGTGCTTTTAATTCTTTCAGGAAGATAACAAAAAGAGGTAGAGCTGGGTCAAATGGAACCTCTAGTTTTAGTTTTTTGAGAAATCTCTGCACTGATTTCCACAGTAGTTGCACCAGTCTTCACTCCCGCCAGTAGCAGAGATGGGTTCCTTTTTCCCCACAGCCCCAGATGGAATCTCAGCATTGTTTTAATTAGCATCTTTTTTTTTGGTACTGGGGTTGAACTTAGGACCTTGTGCTTGTGAGGTAGGCGTGCTACTGAGCTAAATCCCTGGCCCTTATTTGTATTGATCTCTGATCTTGTGCATTCTCTGCCTTTGTTTTTGTTTCTTGGTATCAGGAGTCAACTTGGCCTCATGCTTGCCAGGCAGGCACTGTGCCACTGAGCTACATTCTTGTCCCATGCTGCCTTTGTTATCAGCTAAAATTTGTAACTTATTCTTACTCATAGTTCTGGGGAAGGGGTTGAGAACAGAATAAGGCAGAGACTATATCTAGTATCAGACATTTACCCATAGGCACATGACTTTTGGAATCCTGTGTTTTTTTTGTTGTTTTTTGGTACTGGGGATTGAACTCATGTCCTCGTGCTTGCAAGGCAGGCCACCGAACCGCTGAGCTAAATCCCCGGCCCTAGGAGTCCTGTGTTTTGTGATCTGTGCTATATACTTTGTTCATTTATTCCATCTTGATTCTTTATATTAGTGGCTGTGGAGGCAAAAAAGAAGAATCACTAAACCTTCCGGGAGAAATCACGAGGTAACACAAGAAGGAATGATGTTTGATTCTGTAGAATCAGTTGGGTTTTGCCAAGATCCAAGGAAGGGAAGACTATTCCTGGCATATGAGTAGCAGAGGTAAAGGTGCCTAGGCAATTCAAGTAGTTCCTCATGGCTACAGGGAAGAATGGGATGGTTTGATGGAATACTCAAATCTAGTGAAAGAGAAGAGGGTCCATCCACAGAGTACCTAAGTGCATCCTGAGGAGCTTGGTCCAGTTTTCTATATACTGGAAGACAGAATGGTAAGCAGGGAATAAAAAGTTTTGTGATTTATGGAGATGCTGCTGCAGTGGGCACTTGGAGTGGGAGAAACCAAGGCCAGAGAAGCCAAGTAGGAGGTCTGTAGGTCAGGAATTGTCAGGGCCTTAGCCACTATCATGCTGTGGGACTCTGTGGAGGACATGGGTGGGAAAGATGTCTGGGAAAATGAATTTACAGATTGTGGTGACTAATTAGATGCTAAGGGAACAGTCTCGAAAGACACTGGCATTACTGGGTTGCTAGATGCCGTTGTAAATATTTACCATACTTCTTACTGTGATTCAGGCACTCTTCTGAGCATTCCTAGTATTAACCTGTTTTCTTCTCTCAGTAAACCTATGAGATAGGTACTCTTTTATTATCCCCATTGTACAGATGAGACTGAGATACTGAGTGGTTAAGAAATGAGGTATAGAAATAATAGAGCGAGGATCTGAACCCAGGCAGTTTGGCTGCAGAATCCACACTGTCAACCACAGTTGGAAATCATACTTAAGTTTAGTGGAAGAAGATAGCCTGACAGAAAGGTCTGCTTATCCTAGCCCAAGTATGCTGTGCAATAGGCTAGACATTGGAGATATAGCTGGAAGGCATGCTGTGTCCAATGTGCCCAGGAGTTGTTAAAAGGGTAGAGAAAGTCTGTATTAAAGTAAAGCCACGTGGAAGACTGAGCATCAGGATACAAAGAGAACTAGCTGTGGAAGGAGCAAAGTCAGCCAGAAACACAGAAGTAGCAAGGTCCTCTTGTGGGTATCAGTATGTGTAGAAGCCATGGTACTTCTATTTCTATAGATGTGCTCACAGTTGAAAAGGAAATCCTTAAATCTCCAGAAGACAAAGAGCCAATAATATGAAAGAACAATGCACAAAATAACTAAAAGTAAACATATGGGAAATAGTCGAACCTAGAATTAAAAATAAAAATGAAAGCTAAAAATACAGTGTAAATTTAAAATAACTTTGGGATAGCAAAGCAGCTAGAATTCACAGGACAGAATCCCAGAGAGCAGAGAGTCCTGCAGAGAAGGAACCCTGGAGATGTGCGCGGGCACAGTAGAGTGTGTTACATGCATGAGAGGAAGTCACCCACCATAGAAAGAGACTTTGGAAAGACTAGAGGGAATAGTACCTGACATTCTCAGGGCTGAGAAAAATGCCCATTCCCACTGGGCCTCCTAGAGAATGTCTAATTCCTGAGTATAGGGTAGGTCTTGTCCACCCACGTGGTGTCTAGCAGCAGGGTCTTGCCCCAGTAGTGGGAAGTCCTTATCCTACCTAGCAAATTATAAGAATAAGGCCAAAAAAAGGCTTTTTCCAAGTGATCTAATACATTCTAAAGTAAAGCTCAAGGTGTATAAAAATACAAACATATCCAACATGATACAACACAATATTGAGCATCTGGTCAGACCTCACAGATCATGCAGAGGCTGAAGAAAAACCCATAATGAGGACAATAATAACAGAATTAGCAGAGGAGGACAATAAAAATTAGAATTATTTCATATTGTTAAGAAGTTAATGAGTAGAAAATACTGAAGAGAATCAAATTGAAATTCTAAAGAGAAAAACTTGTCTGAAATGAAAATACACTGGATTAACCATGTGTTAAACTTGCAGAAGAAAATAAAGCTGCCCAAAATGAAATGCAGAGAAAAAAAAAGGAAAAAGAATGGAAAGAGCTTTAGTGAGTTGTGGACAACTTCAGGTTGCTTATTGTAGTAGTACAGTTCTGTGCTGCATAAACATTTTGGTCATTGACACACTAAACATAGCTACAGTAGTCCCATAAAATTATGATGGAGCCAAACAGTCCCTATCTTTTAGTGATGTGGTAAGTGTATAACCATTATACTATTGTACTACAGTGCACTGCAGAAATCTAACCTGCACTGCCAGTCATATAAAAGTGTATCATAGCCAGGTATAGTGGTATACACTTGTAATCCTAGCTACTTTGAGGTTGAGGCCAGAAGATTGCAAGTTTGAGGCCCTGCTTCGGCAACTGAGACCCTGTGTCAAATAAATAAAAAGAGAATTTGGATGTAGCTCAGTGCCCTGTATCCTAGAGCAGTTGCCTGACATGCACAAGGCTTTGAATTTGATCCCCAGCACCTTACAGAAAATGTAATAGGTAAAATTATGGATAGTGTGTAATACTTGATAATAAATGGTTGCATTATTAGTTTATGTATTTACTTTTTTTTTTTTTGGTACTGGGATTGAACTTGCAACCTTGCACTGCAAAGCAGGTGCGGTGCCACTGTCCCTGTATTTACTTTTTAATTGCTATTTTAGAGAGTACTCCCTTAAAGTTTCCTGTTGAACAGTATGCCATGCTGGAGCTGGCAGCAGTCTCATTCATCTTGTTTACTACATCTCCATTGTACCCAGAGGCAGTGGTGAATGATTGACCAGTAACATTGTTTTACCTAAGTAAACTCAGTGTTCCCACAACAGTGAAATCACCTAATGATGCAGTTCTTAGAGCAGATCCTCATTACTGATGAGTGACACATGCGTGTTGGTAACTGGACTACTCAGAGAAGAGAGCAAGGGAGAGAATATATATAAAAAAATAGTGGCTGAATCCCCTCAAAGTTCCACGAAACTATAAACGCACAGATAAAGCAAGAGGAAACCTAAACAGATAAAAATACACTGAAGAGAATTTAAATCAAATTACATTAAATCAAAAGAGAAAATCTTAAAAGCAGCCAGAGGAAAAGTACATGCTATGTACAGAGGAGTGAAGGGTGACACAGAAATAACACATAAAAAAAAAAATGGAGCTATATTTATAATGTGCTAATACACACAGTAATACAGGTAACCACATTTAAAAATGGTCAAAGGACTTGAATAGGTATCTCTGCAAAGAAGATTTACAAATGTCCAGCAAGCATATGAAAATATAGGCCTGTGATTAAGCTCAGTGGTACTGCATCTGCCTGGCAGGTGCAAGGCCCTGAGTTTGATTCCCAGTACAAGAAAGAAAGGAAGGAGGGCAGGGAGGAAAAGTATATTCAGTATTGTTATAAAGAATCCATGTCAGAAATAGGCCTTTGAAAGGAAAGTTTATTCTAGTAAACAGGGACTAAAATCAGGAGATTCTAGCAGCTAGCTGGGAAAAGCTGAGTTTATCACATCTGTGTGTGGATGGGCTGACATTGTTAGAGATAGTAGCAGCTGGCTGGGAGAGTTCATCTGTGAGAGGATGGGCTAACACCAGGAGAAATTAGCAACTAACTGGGAAAGGATTTAGGCTTATATAGATATTGAAGGGGCTAAGGAATCTGGGGTGAACTGTTTATGACTTGGATGCCCAAGGATGGTCTGCTCAGGTGTGTAGACAGTTACTGAACTTTTCAGTGCTAGAGAAGTTGTAGATTTCATTTTGAGTCCATTTGTCTTATTTACTGAGAAGCTGTTGTTGCTAAATGCAGCCTGTTTGTTTTGTCCCATTCGTTTAGGCCAGGCCTAACGTTAGTCATTAGGGAAATGTAAATTAGAGCCACGATGAACTATCACTCCATAGCTACTATGGTGATTGTAATTTTTTTTAAGTTTAAGAGACAGTTTATTATACATGGTCCAAATATAAGGATTATAAGAACAAAGACTGCAGTGGTTATGAACCAATTCGACCATGCAATCCAGAAAGCTAAGCTCATATCATTTTTCCGAAGTTATAGTTGGTATCTGACATGGCCTGGACTTATTGTCTGAAGTCCTGTAAGGTAGATTAGGAACAAAAAGCCCATCAAAAAATAATTAAACAAGAAGAGAAATTAAACTTCCTAAAAGAGATCATTTGATTTTATTGTCACATGTTTGCAATTCATGGAGTTTGCAGTCATCTTGGCAAGTGATTACATGTATGTATCACAACTTTATTTTCTAACCCATCCTTTTCTCCCCACCCTCTGGTTCTCCTATCACCTTTTTGTACTTGTTGATATTATGGCTTAGCTTCTGTTATGACATATAATATTTATATTGATTGGAGTTATAAGGATCCAGTATGTGGCACATCTCTATTCCTCTCATTTCCACTTCCCCTCCTCCTCACCCTTCTCTTTGTTCCCCTGAACCACATCCCTATTGGATGAGATCTGTCCCCTTGTTCCTTTCTATCCATCTTTTATAATTTTCTTTGTACTTTGCCTCACTCAAATGAGAGATACCATATGGTTTTAAATTTGTGTGTCTTATATCAGTCAGAATTATAATTTTAAGATGCATCCATTTTCCTACAAATGCCTCAAATTTATTATTCTTTATAGCTGAGTAGTATTCCATCAGGTGGATACCACGTTCTCTTTAGCCAATCATCTGTCAATAGGTTTACATGCTGCTTCCAGGATTTAGCTATTATAAATTGTGCTGCTGTAAACATTGGTATGCAAATATTGATATAGTGTGATGACTTATGCTTTTGGGGATGATACTGTCAGGGGGATAGCTGGGTTGCATGGAATTTCAATTTCAGTTCTTTAATAAATCTCCACACAGGGCCAGGGATTAGCTCATTGGCACTGTGCCTGTGTCACAAGTGCAAGATCCTGAGTTTGATCCCTGGTGTATGTGTATGTATATATATAAAGAAATCTCCATACTGATTTCCATAATGGTTGTACTAATTTGTGTTCCCATTAACAATGCAGGAGTGTTCCTTTTTATGTAGCTATAGTTTTTTAAAAATGGAAACGTGTG